AAATCCGTATTTTAGCCTACTTGCGAGTAGCAAATTCCAAAGCATTTTCAAACCGAACGGATATGCAATGTTTATTTCCAAATTAGGCAATCTAGTCTATATTTGTTTGTTGTGCGCATAACATAGTAATTCTAGGCTAATAATTGGAATAAGAACACATAACGTTTTCCAAATCGGATATCATGGTTAGTAGAGGCCGGTCTTCGGACCGGGCGGAAGGGGGTGCTCATAGCTGACCTTCCCCGATCGTACCCAAGCTCCCGAGCCGAGACAACTCCGGTGATGACGGACATGTGGCCTTCGGCACCGAGTCAGGGTTTCCTAAATTTCCCCATTTTAAAAATATTTAGGTGGCGACTCTGTATCTGGCAAAGCAGTCCATGTTTGGCACTACTTTTTCAAAAAATCTGTTTCTCAAAACGATTTGCCAGATTTGGACTCTTTGGTTCAGATTAAGAACCGCGACACAAATCGAGTCCGAACTGTAGCACGAGGCCCGCGCGGGCGCTGTTACACTTGGCTTTACATCACAATGAATAAAAGCCATTTCACAATGATGGTGAAGATAATCCAATGCACATGCCACATCAATGGCAATGTTTAGCCTTTGAACAAAGTTCAAGTTCTTAGGTTCATGTTGCTCTAAAAGACTTGGCTGTAACCAATTTTCTAAGCTCCCATTTTCCATGAACTCGAAGACCAAATCCTTGAAGTCGTTGCCTTTAAAATCAATGCTTGAGCAAGTTGTAATTATCTTGACAAGATTTTGATGACGAATGTTCTTCAACGCTTCACATTCTGTAACAAAACTCTTGTTTGCTCCATGTTCGTGTAGTTTGAGCACCTTCACAGCAACAATTTGTTCATTGGAGTTGAGAATCCCTTTATAAACAAAACCATATCCTCCCTCACCAATTAAGTTGGATGGAGAGAACCCATTTGTTGCTTGAAAAAGTTCTCCAAAAGATAGTTATAAATATTGGTTTTGCAAAGGTGAGGCTAATTTGACTTGTTGTCTTGACCTTTTGTTCCAGTAAATAATAGCTAAAATGCACAATGATAATAGAACAATAGTGAGAGTAACTTTTAGAACTATTACTCTATGGTTGAAAGGTTGTTTCCTTTCATTTAAGACTTGCATTGGGCATGCAGGCAAATGCAATAGTTTAATTCCTCCGCATAGCTTACTATTTCCAACAACTGAAAAGGCACTAATGTTTGTGAAAACTCCTCCATTTGGAACTTCACCATCAAACCTATTGTAGAAAAGATTGAGATATTGAAAGAACCGAAACTCCTCGAGAAACCTTGGAATCTGTCCAGACAAGTTGTTCCTAGAAACATCTAGTTCTTGAATACCTTTCAATTGTCTGAAGGTCATCGGAATTGTACCTTTGAAAAGGTTACCATCGATGTAGAGGAATTCTAAAACTTCACAATTGCCGAGAGCGGCAGGGATTTCTCCAAATAGTTTATTTTTTGATACAAATAGTCCACCCAAATTTTTCAAGTTACCCACTTCTTGTGGTCATAGTCCTGTTAAGTAGTTTTGACTCAAGTATAGATAAATGAGGGAAGACAGACCAAAGATTTGATAAGGTATTGTTCCTGTGAGATGATTGTAATCAAGATAAATTTGTTGTAGATTGGTACAATTGCCTAAAGAAATAGGAATGCTTCCTTCAACCATATTTGTTGATAGGTCAAGTGCACCAAGCCTACTTAGGTTTCTAATAGTCGATGGAATCTCTCCAGAAATGTTATTGTTGTGAAGCAAGAGCTTTTCCAACATGGAGAGTTTTCCAATGGAATTTGGTATACTACCTGTAAGCAAATTTTGATCTAGAAAGAGGTATTGCAAATTTACAAGGTTCCCAATACCAAGAGGTATGTTTCCAGATATATAGTTGTCTTCTAGAGTAAACCAAGTGATCTTGGTGGAGAGATTTGCAATAGAATGGGGCAACAAACCTTTAAAATGATTCATAGCCAAATCTAGTATTCATAGAGGGGAACAATTAAATAAAGAAGTGAGGAAGCTCATTAATTCATTGCCTTGGTTTGTATAGCGATCACGGTTGTCCCTTTACTGTTCTGTTGTATTCCGGACTCGGTTCCGTGAAGTTGGTAGTGGTATCTATCTTGTTGTCGTCCTTTAATTCCACTTGATTGAGTTGGGATGTTTTGAGCAGGGTTGTTACAGGTTGGTTAGGCCTTGGTTTCAATTCCTTGTTGTTCAGTTTTTAGGCGATCCGCTCGAGCAGATCCTCTTGCGCTCGAGCGGGGATTGCACACCTCCAGTATTTTGTGTTCCTCCAAAATTTCTGCAGATGTGATTTTTACGCTCGAGCGGGTTTGTTTACGCTCGAGTGGCTTTGGTGGCGCTCGAGCGGGTAGTACCTTCTGGGTATAGGTTCTGGTAGGGGGAAATCTACGCTCGAGCGGACTGGTTTTCGCGCTCAAGCGGAAGTGCTTTATTCTTGTGTCTTGGCGCTCGAGCGGGCCTTATTATGCTCGAGCGTGTTCAGATTTTTGTTCTTGGCGCTCGAGCGTTGTGTTCTCTGCTCGAGCGGGTCATACGTATATGAGTTATCCGCTGGGTGATTTTAAATCACTTTTTGCTTTTCTTTATCTCTCCTACTTTTTCTAAAAACCATTTTTGAGAGCCTCTCTCTCTAGAAACTCCCTTCTCTCTAGGGTTTGATCTAGTTAAAGTGTCCTCCTTCTCTTCGGCCTTTGTAAAAGTTGTGTTGATCGTCGAAGGCGTCGTTTTGATCCGAGAATCTTGGTCTTTGGAGCACTTTGGTTTTGGTCTCTTCTCCATCCGAGCTCTAACTTCGAGGTAGGGATATCCTACTCCTCTTTATGAGTTTTGTCTTTAAATTTTTGCATTTTGATATGTTGGGGGTTGTTGGGTAATTTTGAGAGAGTTTGGGCCTTTGTGTAATTTTACAAAAGTTGGGGTTTTTATTTATATAAAACCTAAATGCATGTTTGGCATGGGAAGGTGAAATTAATGTTGAAACATTAATGAAAATAGAACCTAAGGGTTGTAATGTTAATTATGGAAAATGCTCTAATTACATTGATTGATTAATTTGCATAATTAATTATGAGAAATGAGGAATTGATTTGGAAAGATATGGGATTAAAGGGTGTTGTTGGATTATTTATCGCTCACCTAGTTGAAATGTTGATTATGTATCCACTGTTGCATTTATTTTCTGTATAGAAATAACTGCTTTGGGCTATCGATGGAGGATAGTCTTGATTGTTGTAGACAATGCATGATGATTAGGCAAACTGAAACTAATCACTGGAATGTGTCATTGAGTATGACGGTTGAAAGAATACATTAAATTTATGTGTTGTGTGATGATGCGTATAATTATTGTTTATATGCATTGTGTTGTGCTGGAGGAGATAGGGGATGTACTCCACGGTTTAGGGGAAGATAGGGGATGGACCTCTAAACCGGATGTTGTTGGGAGGAGATAGGGGATGGACTCCATAGATAGAGCTCATATGCTTATCCAGTAATGTGTTGACAGAGCTCATATGCTTGTCATTGGAAGTGTGATAGTGCTCTTATGCATATCTATGGAAGTGATGATATAGCTTGTAAGCTTATCTGTTGATGTGTTGATATAGCTAGTACGCTTATCTAATATGAATTGGGAAGGAGTTTAATATGGGTTATTGTCTCATATGAGTTGTTTGGCCAGGTTCTGAGCCATGGTTATAAATTGAGAATTGAAAAGAATTGGAAAATGGATTGTAACATGGACTTGTATGTCATGAAACCGTAAAGTGTGATAAGGGAAAGTATCAGTGTTGGCCATCTATCAACTGCTAATCTTTTAGTCATTGTTCATATTTGGTTTAGTGTATTTCTACTAGGCTGTGGCTCACCCTATATGGGAATATCATTTTCAGGTACAGGTAGCTTGCCACCTCCAAAGACGTAGCTTGGGAGGCTAGAGGCGGGCATATTTTTGTTGTTTAGTTTCTTTGATGTATTACATGTATATTCAAGCCAAGGGCTTAATGTGTAAATGAGTTAGCACTCTTTTGTTGTAACCAAGTGTTAATTTGGAAAGCTGTAAGCCCTTAGGACATTTGCTTTTGTTGTTAGCATGTAATACATTTTGGTAATGAAACTCTGATGAATAGAAGAAAGTGGAGCTTTTATATATCAATGCATGTCTATATTGATGGGTTTAATGTTATTTTTTTGAGGGCGTTACAGTTTGTTCCAACTAAATTGTCAGAAGCAGCTAAAAGTTCTAAAGCATCAAGTGTTCCCAGACTTTTAGGCATGAACCCAGTAAAAAAATTGATGCCAAAATCAATTTGCACAAGTCTCGTAGCATTGGCTATTGACGATAGAATTTGGCCATAGAATTGATTGGAGTCAACATAAAATCCTAATAAATTTGGAAGTGTCAAGCCTAAATCTGGTGGTAGAATTCCGTGCAATTGGTTGACATTGACAGAGAAGAAATAGATTGATGAGATATTGTAAAGAGAAGTAAGAACCATACCGGACAAATTGTTTCTTGATAGCTGAAGATACTCTAACTTCGAAAGCTGCCCAAGTTGGGTGGGAATGCTTCCCTCTAGATTATTGAACACTAGAGAAAGCACACATAGATTGGGAAGGTTCCTAATTGAAAGTGGGATTGCTCCAGTGAGATGATTGGCTGCAAGAATCAAGTTGGAGAGATTGGACAAAGAACCCAGCTCTGTAGGAATTTTACCTCCTAGATTGTTACCACCCATATGGATAACTCTCAAGTTCGAACACTGAGTCAAATTGATTGGAAATTTACCTTGGAAAGAGTTATTCAAAAGCAGAAACTACTGTAGAAGAAACAACTTGCCAATTTCCGGTGGAATTTCGCCATGAAAACTATTGTTATCAAGATCAATTCTCCTGAGAAAGGTGAGGTTTCCAATGTGAGGAGATAGAGAACCCACCAATGTGAGAGATGACAGGTTTATGACTGTCACACGTTGATGTCGACGACCGCATAAGACTCCTTGCCAATTGCAAAAGTGAATTGAATGATTCCATGAGCTTAAGGCACCCAGTGGATCTCCTGTTATCAAATGCTTGATTGCAAGCAGAGCCTGATGGTCTGTCTCGTTGGTGAGAACTAAACTGAGGTTGCCTTTGGCAGTGGTAATCAGTTCAAGAGAGTTCATGAAAAAGAAAATGAAACAAAGACAACTGAGAAAAGTTTAATTTGTTTGCTCCATTAATAGATTATTGTGATGAGAAATGGAGCTGATCAACTTGTATACATTAATGGGAAGCCAAATATATGTATTTATAGAGCCAAAGGCTAGGGACTTTTTTGGTTTTTTTAGGGTTGAGCATGGTCAGGATTGGTTGGAATTGGGGTAATGTTGTTTTTGTGGGGGGAATTCAAAATTTATAAATTTGTCTCAATTTGATCCAATTAATTTTAATTTTTAGTTTTTTATTTATGAAAAGTATGTACATAATTATCATGTGTTATGCTTTTATAGGAAAATTATAAATTATTCAACTTAGTGAGTTAACCTACACAAACTCAGTGACTATTTTCTTTCTAAAACCCTAACTGACATTATCAATTAGACCAAATTGACACCAAATTTAAGATTAAATGTCAAAATTGGGCTAATTAAAATGATAAAGACCAAAATAATACAAAGGTCAAAATGTAGCGATTACTAATGTAATTTGTCTTTCTTTTTTTTTTTTCTTTTGTGTTCGTAGTTTATTGTGTTATTTTATTATTAAGGAGTCATCACCTAAGAGTAAAAAATTTAACCCCAATAGCAAATAGTTACATCGTACACATCAATTAATTTTTTTTTCTCACAACTATTTATTTAATTAAAAAAGTCTTTTCGAAACACATCTTTTTTCACCTCATAAAAAAGTCTAAAAAATTAAATCCACTAAAAAGACTAAGTTCTCAAACGAGTTCTAAGAATATCTAAACTACTCTTACTTGTTAGCTAATGAATGGAGGAAATTCACATCTACTCTATCGAGTTGAACTTGCACCGGAATAAAAATATTATTTATTTCGTAATATAATTTTTATATGGGACTTAACAAAAAAATTATGTATTTGGAATAAGTAACCCAAAAATATAGTACATATAAAGTGTAGATTCAAACTTAAAAACTAAGTATGGTGTAAAAGAAACATCCCAACTCATCTCTTTATGCTCTACATGTTTTATTTAAAACTGATTTTTTCTTGCTTTTTGAGATATAAAATTACTAATTAAGTTTTTGTATTCAAGGTTTTTTAGCACATTCATTTTCAATATTCAAATATTTTTAGTCCCATCTTAGGTGAAAAATCTAGAAATCCCCTAGATGTTGATTTGTGATTATGTATCAATTTTAAGCAGTATATAACAATCCCAATCAAACAATCAAGACAAAACGACACAACGATTTTACGTGGAAAAACCACAATTGGACACCTCCAATTGTGATAAAAAAAAAACCACCGGCAACAGCCACAAAACAATCCACTAAGAAGATATAAAGGAATTACGCAGGTATACTCTCAATTACCTAGCGAATCCACGCTCGAATTGAACCAACCTCTATGTGCCTCTTCTAACCCCGTCTTTACCTCGGAATTGTCTTGACGATGAGCCACTCCAGAATCCACCAAAGCTTCAGGCTCGAATTCTTCAGAATCCACCGAAGAACAACTCTCTCTTTTGTGTAGAACAAACAAATAATCCTTTGATGTATTCTCTTTAAACCATGAGTTGAATACTCAATCAAAACATCAAAGAAAACTAGCAAAATATCCCAATATATAAACCTTAGAACCCAAGAAGAAGATCTGGAGAAGTTAGTAAAGTTTTGGGAGAAAACCAACTTCTTATAGAAATCCAAAGTAATCCTAGTTGTGGAAGAAAACCAAATCCTTATAGAAATCCGACTTTTGAAGCTCGCTCGAGCGAAGCTTCTCTCGCTCGAGCGAGAACCTTAACTCGCGTGATTTCCACTAGTGCCTTCGCTCGAGCCACAAACCCTTCGCTCGAGCGACCAATGAGCTCTTTCAGGTTTTTGTATAGACGCACTCCTTCGCTCGAGCGAGCAAGGGCGAATAGGCAACTTTGAATGCAATTTTGAATTTTGCTTCGGGCGCGAGCTGACCGAGCAGCTCGACCCCTGTCATAATCAGTGAAGTGGCAATCTTGAAAGCATTAACATCACAAACTTCTCTGCAACACTCGATTCGGGTTGGATTCGCATCTAATAAACTCATAGCCTCACTGAAATAAAAGTGCGAAAACAAATACAATTGAAAGGAGTTTTGTCAAACGGGGTTGCCAAGAATAAAAACCTAACATTAGGTAAGACTTTCTCAATTTTGGTTTTAAAACATTTCTTTATGCAAATCATCTAGTGCCAATGTAAATAACAATCTAATATTTTTATATAATTTGATACATTAATTATAATCTTTTTAACGGATTTATAATTATTTCCATTAAGCCAATTATCAATATTATATATATAAATAGTGAAAGCCTAGGGTGTGCACTCCCTTAGTGGTGCATACTATATGCACCCTATCACAATTGGCATAATTTTATCACAAAATGTTGTAATATCAATTACAAAATGTGTAATCTCATCACAAATTAACGTATCAAAATGTCCAAAATTTGTAAATCTTGTAACAAAAGTTTGTGGTTTTGTTACAACATTTTTTGTTATGTTAATTTGTGACAAGGTTAGATATTTTGTAATTGATGTTATGAAATTTTGTAATAAAATTACATCAATTTATGATAGGGTGCGTATCATATGTACTCCTGAAGATGTGTACACCAAAGGATTTTCCATGTATATACCAAACATTTACAAGTCTTCGTGAACATCACCACTTCAGATGCGTCTCACTTAAAGTTTGTGAGTATTTTGATAGGTTTCTATCTATAATTGTTCCAATCTTAACATTTGCTTAACTATAATGATAATTGTTCGGTCAATTTAAGCATATGAATCATTAAAATCTAAAATAAATTTGGCCTTTATATTTAATTTTTAAGAAACTTAATCCAATGGTAATTTTTTTAGTTGTGGTAAGTGTTGCATCAACACGATTCCCAGTGTCAAGAAAGGCTAAAGTACATGGATTAGGATTATTTGCAATAGTTTTTGTTGTGATAATTCTAACCACTTCATATTTAGGGTAAATTATTTATAAGTCCTATTTTATGCAACATATAATCCTGTAAAAAAACTTATGTTCCTGTAAGTCTTGTGGGTTTCTTGTTGACACATTTACCCCCAATATTATTATTTAATAACCTAATTAATGGCAATACTATATAGGAAATCTAATATTACCATCGATTATGATCATATATATATGGTTGAGAATTTGAATTTTAAAATTGATGTTCCATATATGAGAAATCTAATTTTACCATAAATTGTGATCATATTTATGTGATTGGGACTTTGACTGTGGTGTGGTGTATAATGGTATTGTTGCCACCCCCATTTTATCTTTGTTCATTGAAATGTGTACAAGTTAAGGGATTTTCAAGCTGCTGTGTTTGTTGTCCTTGACAACGTTAATGTCTTAACCCAGGTAAATGTGAACACAGTGGCAGTTTACATCGACTTGATTTGTTGAGAAACATAAATGGAATGTGATGGATTCACATGTTAGTGGTTGTTGCGTCAAGTTTACTGGCACAGTTTGAAATAGAAATAGATCTATTTTTCATATGAAATATAAACAGCCCAACATAAATGTGAGTTCACATTGAATGTGAAAATTACATTCTCATGTGTGTAGCCCAATTGGACAATGAGACAATGACGCACTCAGAACGTCCACCAATAGTTGGTTCTAGACTACGAAGCACAATGTAAAAGTGTACACACTTATGAAGTTAATGTGATGTGATGTGAACATTGAATCTAATGTGGAAAAATGGAATGTGACAATGGGAATCCTCAAATGTATACCCCCAAATCTTGATGACAATGTGTACATGACTTTTGAAAATAGAACGTGATGTCAACAAATGTGGGTTCGTATTGATACATTTTGTAAGTTAACACCTGGGTCTTTTAGTAGTAGTAATTGGTGGCGAAACATGGCAAAATCATCAACAACATGCCATGCATTTTGCTTATTTATTTCAATAATTATAACACTAGTAGATGATGTTGAAGGCAGAACTTTATGTAGACTACATATAGTTACTTTATGTGGATTTCTCATATATGGAACGTCAATTTTAAAATTCAAATTCTCAGTCATATAGATATGACCACAATCTATTGTAACATTGGATTTCTTATATGGTATTGCCATTAATTATGTTATTAAATAATAATATGTGGCATAAGTCTAGAAATCCCCTAGATATTGATTTGTGATTATGTATCAATTTTAAGCAATAAAGCAATCCCAATCAAACAATCAAGACAAATCGACACAACGATTTTAACGTAGAAAAACCACAATTGGAGCACCTCCAATTGTGATAAAAAAATCACGGGCAACAGCCACAAAACAATCCACTAAGAAGATATAAAGGAATTACATAGGTATACTCTCAATTACCTAGCGAATCCACCCCCGAATTGAACCAACCCCTATGTGCCTCTTCCAACCCCGTCTTCGCCTCGAAATTTTCTTGACGATGAGCCACTCCTAAAGCTTAATCCACCAAAGCTTCAGACTCGAATTCTTCAGAATCCACCGAAGAACAACTCTCTCTATTGT